GAAGAGGGCCGGATCTGGAGGCAGTATGGGAGTAGCCGGGAGGCTACAAAGTGCAGCTGAGATGATAGTAAGATAAGTGGATGGAGTTCAGGTTGTTAGCAGATAAATGTGATTGAGAGACTAATTGGATTTGATAGTGGGTCAAGAGTGATTACATGATTTCCGGAGTTAAGATCTCTTCCAACTTTAAAAATTATTAAATTAACAAAAATAATAGAAGTTACCGTGAGGGCCCTGGGAAGCAGCTACAATTATGACATTACCAGTAGGGTAAAATCATTTACCAGATCTTCGAAAGTATTACAGCTGCGTGCAATAGAAGCTATAATAATATTAACACTCCCTGGCTTGTTAATTTCATTTTTGGGAATATGAGTTAAAAATGGCTAAAGTTTTGTACTGTTTGTCCAGATTTAAAATCAGTGCTATTTATTACCAAAAAAAATGGAAACACTATCTAATGTCCCTACAGGAGGAAAGTTAAGACAGGTTTTTAATCTGTCAATAGGGTGTAACTTTTTTTTTTTTAAGATTTATTTATATATGCATACAGACTGGGATACAGGCCAGAGGTGCAGGGGTGGTGAGAGGATTCACTAGAGACAGAGTGGGATTCACCAGAGACAGAGTGGGGAGCAGAACAGGCATATTAATGAAGTACACTGCTGAGGGGAGCAGCAAGTGAGACAGGAGAAGTCTGCTGCGCCATGAGGGTCACCTCCCTGGCCGGGGATGGAACTCGCACTGAAGCAGCTGTGCTAGCTTCATAGAGCTGTGCTTTAACTAAACCATTGTGCCACCAGAGAGAGCCCAATAGGGTGTATAATCATATAGACCTTAAAAGTAAGAAAACCATTCATTTGCAGGTGAGTTGGTAGAGAACACGATAAGTAGACAGACAAACAGACATACACACATGCTGGAATATTACTCAGTTATAAAGAAGGAAATCCTGCCATTTGTGACAACATGGATGAACTTGAGGCATTATATTAAGTGACAGTAAAGTAAAGAGAGTATTGTATAATCTCACTTATATGTGGACTGTTAAAAAAAAAGCAGACTCAAAGAATAGATTGGTTGTTTGCAAGGTTTGGTGAATGAAGGTGGACAAACTTATAGTTATGAGTAAGTTTTCAGGATCTAATATACAGGAGGTTTACAATGTAAGATGGTGATATAATAGGGTTGAGAGAATCAATACTGACCTGACCATCCCTATGTATCCCACACAATTTTAGGAGAACAGGGATTAAAGGGAAGTTAAATCTAGCCATAATGGAGGAGACTATTGGAAAAGTTGTATTTTGAGAGGGACAGTGTGGGGATAGAGCTTAGTGTCTTTGTCATTATTACCTGACAGACCCCAGGAGTGACAGGTTAATAGTGGCTTATTTTGCATTTAATTCACAGTTAGCTTCTTAGAGATTCCATTTCCTTTAAGTGCACCAGTGACTGAAATTTTCCATAACTGGATCACTCACACATTTATTTTAGTTTGTTATTTGATTGAAAGTTCATAGACTGGATTAAAAGGAAATAGTAGGCCCTCCCTGGTGGCGCAGCGGGTTAAAGCACTGCACTAGGAGGCTTAAGCCACTTCCGCATGAGTTCGATCCCCACCTGCCCCGGGGGAGATCCACATGGTGTGGCAGACCTCTCCTGGCCCACCTGCTGCTCCCCTCAGCAGTGTACTTTGATCATCTGCCTGTTCTGCTCCCCACTCTGTCACTGGTGAATCCTCTCACCCTCCGCATCTCTGGCCTGTACCCCAGGTCTGTATGAATAAATAAATAAATTAGTAGGAAAAAAAAAGAAATAGTAGTTCTTAATTAGCAAGAATGTTTGAAGTTGAATGTAAAAAAATTCTGAGTTTATGTTTGGAGGTTCCTCAAACTGCTAAACATGGAGCTTCCCTACGACCCAGCAATCCCACTCCTAGGTATCTACCCAAAAGACACAAAAACGCTGATTGAAAAAGATACCTGCATCCCCATGTTTATTGCTGCTTTATTTACAATTGGAAAAACATGGAAGCAGCCCAAATGCCCAAAAGTAGATGACTGGATTAGAAAGATGTGGTACATATATACAATGGAATACTACTCAGCAATCAAAAAAGAGAAACACATGTCTTTTGCAGCAACTTGGATGGAGCTGGAAAAGATCATGCTTAGAGAGATAAGCCAGAAAGAGAAAGAAAAATACTGGATGGTTTCACTCATAGCAGGAGTATAATGGACCAGGCGAGAAAAAAACAAAAATAATGAACAACCATATACCAGAGACATTTTGCGGGGGTGGAGTGGGGAATGGGATCAAAAACGGGGTGGGAGGGAAATGCACAGGATTATGGTGATGGCACATGGGTGACTTGGTGATGGGAAACCCACGGGGATTACAATTGAGATGGGAGAAAAAAATGTACAAAATGATGCAAAAATAAACTGTTATAAAATTAAAAATAATATATATTAAAAAAAATTCTGAGTTTAGTTGTATTGCATTGGTAGTTGAAAAGTAGGTAACTACTAATTACTTAAGAAAATAAGTTCAGGCCACAGAAATTTTGGACACATGACTTCACTGATGTTTTTAACAATGTACAGAAAAGTGGGCTATGGTGATGGTGGGTGCTGGGAAAACATCTCAACCTGATTTAGATCATGGGAGTTTCTTGGATGAAATGATTTTAACCCAAAACACTGAAGATGGAGAAAAAGCAAACTGTAAATGCAGCAGTTTTGGTATAGGCAATGTAAGTAGGGAGAAACCACCTATAGGTGAGAGATTTCTGAGGGATTAATTGAGTAGATTTGAGAGTTAGAGATAAAAGGAAGATGGATGGGAAAAGAAGACATGTTGCTGGGGTGACATGTTGCTTGTCAGATTGATTCATGTCCTATTGGGATCCCTAGAAAGGATTCCTAGAAGAGGAGGGTGGTATAGTCAGCTGGATACAAACCTTGCAGAGAATGCTAGAGACCATGGACCCCTGTCAAGATGGAGTGACTGGGTGTGGCTGGCCGTGAGACTGGGGTTGATGTAAATGACAGTGAGAGATCGGCAATGGTGTGAATGAGTGGGCCCACTGCTCTCAGCTGAGCAGGTGGGTCCAAGGGGCACTTTGGGTTTGGGAAGGAGGTTGTGATAGTAATTAATGTACTTTACTTACAGAGCCGGTTCACATTAATTAATTCACATGAATCAACAACCCTATGAAGTAGGTATCATTACCTGTTTTTCACAGGTCAGAAAACTAAGCCTCAAAGAGATTAATCCTATGGTTCTCAGTTCTGGCTGTGTGTTAGAACTCCATGGGAGATCTTTCTAGAAATATTGAAGCCTGGGCCTCACCTCAGGTAAGGTGATTGTGTAAATGTTCCAAGCCTCCACTATCCATGTTTTTTAAATGCTGGTGATTCTAACTTGCAGTCAGGTTTGAGAGCCAAAGGCTTATCTGTCTAGAGAAGCTGAGTGCCAGTATGTGTCAGAGACAGAACCTGAAACTTGGCCTTTTGCCGCTGAGTCCATGTCTTTTTGCCTTTTCCCCCCTCCAGTCCTTTCCCTTCCATTTCTTTCTTTAGAATTCTGTATGGGAAGTGATGGTGGAAAACCAAACCCAGTTTGGTTTTCATTTTCTACTTAGTTTCTGGGGAACAGACTCCCATAGCAATCACTTCTGTGGGCTTTTACAAATGTGTCATTCTGTGTTTCTTTGCTCCTTCCTCTCTGTTCAGTTTTCAGGCTTTAGTTGAGGTCCGCTCTCAGGAAGCCTATGTTAGTTTGGGTTTATACACTGAAATGGACTCTTTCCACTTTTCTTTAAAGAATATTTTAGAAGAATGATGGGTAATTCATAGACTTGAACAAAATGAAAAGTAAGGTTAAACAACTTGGGCTCACACACAAAGTTCAAGAACAACAGAACAGCTTTGTAGCTTTGGGTATTTCAGGACTAGGAATAGAGGACCATTTCTATTGGATGGTATCTTATTTCCAGCTACCCAACTAAGTACCTGTTTCTCTCTGCCCCACATTCAGTCCTGTAGAGATTAGTACAGAATAGGTTGCTGCCCCTGTGTCAGTTAGAAAGGGTCCTGTGATGAGAAGTCCTGCAAGAACTTCCCTGGGCTAGTTCCCCAACGATCAGACTGCTGGGCAGACCCAAACAAGTCACTCATTAAAAAGCCTTTACTGACAGTTCTCCTTACATGCAGGACTGGGTTCCCTCTTTGGGCTCCAGTAGCTTCCCTCTGCCACCCCCTATACTGTAGCTCTTGAGTTATTTTACTGTCATGTTGATAAGAAAAAAACAAGTATACCCACTCTTTGTGCAGAGTGTGTATGCTCTCCCCTTTCTCTCTGGGTTTTCTGTTGGGATTCAGGTTTCCTTCCATATTCCAAAGAGGTGCACATGAAATTCATTGATATTTCAGGTGTGCCATTTGGAGTGTGTGCACCCTGTGATGGAAGGACATCTTGCCAGTGTTGGGTCTTACCTTGCACAATGAGCTGCCAGAATAGACTCGGAGAGGGTTAGAAAATGAATGAATGTAAATTTTTGTTGATATTAGAACTGTTTTGGGTCTTGATTTAGTTTGATACTGTTCTTGTGATCAAAAATATGTTGTAAGACTTAACTCTTATTTATTTATATCAGTTAGCCTATGTTGAAATTTGTTCTGCTCCTCGTTACTTTTCTTATAATCACAGTTTTCAAAAACTTAATGACAAAGTTAAGTGAGAACTTGCTTATACCATAAATGCCTATTCTTGAAGCGGTGAGCCGCAAGATGGCCTAGCAATTATCTCATTAATAGCATTTGGTGTATGAAATTCTAGACAGACTTAAGTGCAAAAATATAAACTTGTGCTGTACTCCTTTTCCAAGGTAAGGGGTCCAGCCCCGCCTCCTCGTAAGACCTGCCATCCGTGTGGTATTTAACACTCTGCCATTTCCACTTTCTTTTTCACTTCTTACCTCTTTCTCCTCTTAGGTAATTGCTGGCTTCAACCGCCTTCGACAGGAACAGCGGGGCCTGGCATCCAAAGCAGCTGAGCTGGAGATGGAGCTGAATGAGCACAGGTGAGGAGCTGGGGAAGAGCAAGCCCTGGGAGAGTCAGGTGGGCGATTTGTGAGGGTTGCGATCCAGGACTGAGTTCTCAGCTCCTACCTGGTCCTCCTGCAGCCTGGTGATTGATACACTGAAAGAGGTGGACGAAACTCGCAAGTGCTACCGCATGGTTGGAGGCGTGCTGGTGGAGCGGACTGTCAAAGAGGTACTGCCTGCCTTGGAGAACAATAAGGAGCAGGTGAGCAAAAGTCCCCATTTAGAGACACTAGATAGCCAAGAGAGGGGAGAAGGAAGGAGAGACCAGGGTCTGAGGAATTGTGCTGGAGACAGCATAAATGGGCTGTTGGCCTACCTCTTCATGCTGTGCTAAGACATAGGAAAAAGACTGTGTGCCTTTCTTCCTGGACTCTTTGAGCTGGCTGAGTTGGGGAGGAGCGGTAACTCCTGCATCCAAATCACTTGGAGAATTAATTTTAAATGCATTTTACTGGAACCACTGTCAGAATCTTTGGGGCTAGGACTCATATAAAGTGACGTTTTTTAAAAATAAGCAGTCCAATGGTGATGGCACAAAGGTGATTTGGTGATGGGAAGCCCACAGGAATTACAACTGAGATGGGAAAAGGCACCAAATGATGTAAAAATAAACTATTAAATAAAGTAAATAAATAAGCAGTCCAGGTGATTTTTTTTTGTGCATAGAAGTTTATCAGCCATTGTGTTTGGGAAAGAAAACATGTTATGTTAATGTCTGGGCTCTAATAGTTGGTTTAGGATGAGGTAAGAGAATCATCTCTCCTTTACTTCTCTAGCCATAGTTAGACCAGATTGGGGAGAGATTCCTGAAATCCTTATATAATCATATTGTTTGCCCTATAGATACAGAAGATCATTGAGACACTGACACAGCAACTTCAAGCCAAGGGAAAAGAACTTAATGAATTCCGGGAAAAGCACAACATTCGTCTCATGGGGGAAGATGAGAAGCCAGCAGCCAAGGAAAACTCAGACGGGGCTGGGGCTAAGGCCAGCTCGGCTGGAGTCTTGGTCTCTTAGGGACCAAGGCCTTTGTGTTTTTTTCTACCCGGATTCCCATGTCTTCTAATTTCTCTTATTGTTATTATTATTATTTTCTCTGCTATTGTAATATTTTTTTGTTAATTAAATGTTTTGATCAGAATGTTTAGCTCTAGCCATACACTTTTTCACAGTATCAGACTTGGGATTTGTCTGAGGCAGGGAAGTACATATGGATTGTGGGTTGGTTTCCCGTCAGATTAATGACTCGGTGTCAGAGTAGGTTCCATGTCTTATCCAATCCCTTATTAAAAAGGGGGGACTTATTGCACTCCTCCAAAAAAGATTCAAAGACAAATATTCAAGTGTAGATTGACATTTAATGAGCATTAGGGCTGAGACCGATAAGATAGCTTTGGTGGTAATACTTTGAGTCTGCAACAACAAAAAACAGACTTGAAGGAAAAAAGAGAACTAGCCAGGGGCTTGGTGATATGTCTTGGCACTAGTTTAAATAAAGAGGTCCAGGGTGCACACCTGTGGACAGGCTGTCCTGCCATCCTCACCAATACCACCAATCAGGTAAAGTTGATCATTCCAAAGACAGGTCCGGTGGCCCATTCGTTTCAAGTGGCGATCTGCACAGGGGAAGTGGAACCACAGAGAAGGAGACTGGCCTGTTGAGTAAGGAAGGGTGGTGACTGAGACAATAACACTTTGGAACCAGTAGGACTCTTAACAAGACCAACGGCATTCTATATTTTTCTCCTCGATTTATGGGCCTCTTCAAAATTTGCTGCTCTGTGTACTCCTTTAACTCATCTACTAATTGTTCCTGTTCCTTACCCCATCATTCTGCCCTCTTTATTTCTGTAGTCCTCAGGTTCTCCCATCTTCCCACGTTACCCCCTACCATGAGGCTGACTCTCACGGGTATCATAGACGTAGAGGTCATTGCAGACGCTGTCTCTAGCTCTGGTCAGAGTTTCTCCACCAAACAGCACAGCAAAGGGCCCCACCACAGAACATGAGTGATGCCGGAGGCCCCGGGGTCCCTGCCGAGACCCTTGCCCACTGCTCACAAGTCTTGAGAGCTGTTCCATCAGGTGGGGGGCAACAGGTGTTTCCTCCTTGGGGGAGAAAGAAAGGACTGTTTGGTGGGGTTTGGGCATCACAGTTGCAGCAGCTTTTGTCCTGAGCCAACTATGAATAGACACTACCTTAATCTTTCCGTGACTCCAGTGCCCGGCTACTTCTGTGTCTGCTGAGTTGCACCCCCCAAAGAGCAACAATTCATGCCCAGGGTGGGGTCCCATAGTTTGGAGCAGAGCAGCGCAGTGACCTGAACGGGAAGCTGTGTGGCAGCCTTCTTCCTTATAGCTGTGGCATGCAGAAATCAAGCTTGAGTTGGGTTTTCTGCAAGAGTTGGGCCTTTCCCCCAGCCTTCTTGCTAAGAATGGAAAGATGGCTGTATACAGAGAGAGAGGGAGGTTGATGCTATCCTAGAAGCTGCAGATTGGGAGCCAGCGGGGAAGGAGGGTGGGCAGACTGAGGATGTGGGTGCGTTCAGCTTCTGCTTTTCCTGAGGGTAGATGAAGGAAGAGCAGGTGAGACTTTTGGGGTAGGGGGAGCCATACCAATAGGTGCGGGCGCCAGGATCCAGCCTGAGCGTGTAGATACTTCCATAGTGACGCTGAGTGCGGGTCCCACCCTCGCGGCCTGCCACACGCAGCTCTCTGTCTGACAGGCGGGTGCAGGTGTGGCTGCTGAGGCCAGCGGGAGGGCAATCGCCAGGGGCAGCGGCCCAAGCTTCCCACAGCCCACGCTCGGTGTCCAGGGCGACCACTGTGGCCAGGCGGCGTGCCCCATCCCAGCCGCCCACCACACAGAGCCAGCGGCCACCTACGGGCACCGCCTCGTGGTGGCTGCGCCCCGGCCCCCCCGGAGTTACCACACGCACAACCTGACCCCCCTCCGGGTCGAAGACCACCGTGTCGCTGCTGGGCTCCCTGGCTCCTCCCTCCAGGAGCCCCCCCACCAGATAAAAGCGCTCCCGCAGTTCCGTGCACGAATGGAAGGCCCGCGCCAGCAGTGCATCCTGGGCTACCGGCCTCCAGGTCCAGCCCCTGACTCCGGCCATGGCTCAGGAAGGCGGATTCTGGGCAGCGACCCAAGCGCCGAGACCTGGGCTTCCAGGTACCAAACCCCAATGGCCCCGCCCTAAGTCCAAGCCCCCGGCCTATCTTCGCGGTCGCATAGCAACCTCGGCAGCAGCGCAACCGCCGCAAACGCAAGGTCGCAAAGTACCGATCACTATGGAGACGGGCACCTGGACAGCTACCGGGTTCGCAGTGTAACCCGAGCCAGGAGACCTGGGCAGCTACCGGAACTAGCGTCACCATGGCGACAAGAGCTGCTGGAGCTCCATGCTAATCGTGAGAGACTGTTCACTTGTGGGGGACGGCCAGTCCTCAGAAGGACACCATTCCTAAGTCACGAGCTGACATGGGATGGTTCAGGGACGTCTCTGAGAAGTGGGGAGCTTCTGATTCCTACTGATCTCCCCTGGGAGGAAAAATCAGAGACACTGGGAGGCAGTGGAAGCGGGCTGGGCGTGACGTGAGAGTCAGGTGACTTGCTTCTGGTCCCACCGATTCCTCCGACTCTCAAGCTGACCCGGCTGTCATTTCTAAAGCATGCGCTGGGTTTATTCTGGAGGCGCCTCCAGATTTGCTGCGGGAAGAGCACACACACATCCCGGTGATAGGAGGCCTTTCGGCGGAGGCCACTGGAGGGCAGCAGAGCTCAGGTTCTCAAGCCCATTGCGGTGGCGCTTGTGAAAGGGGGTTTTCCCAGGTACACTCGTGTCTGGGAATGTTTTCATTCCTGAGCCTTAGGAAGAAGCATTCCTAATTCATCTTTCCTCACGGCTCACACAGCACAAGGACACTGGGGTACGTGGCGTCTAAAATTCAGGATTAGAGCCCTCCCTGGTGGCGCGCCGGGTTAAGCACAGCTCTACGGAGCTATCAGCAGCCACTGCTGCCAGAATCCCCGGCCAGCGAAGTGAACCCACATGGTGTGGCAAATCTCTCCTGACCCGCCCGCTGCTCCCCTCAGCAGTGTGTTTCACTCCATCTGCCTGTTCTATTTCCCACTCTGTCTCTGGTGAACCCTCTCACTTCCTGCATCTCTGGCCTGTACCCCGCTTCTTGTATGCATAAATAAATAATTTTTTTTTTTAAATTCAGGATTAGGGAGAAAGCAAACTGACTCATACTCTACCTCCCCACATCTTCTTTTATTCTAGTCAGGTACATGGGTTGCTTCTTCACGCTGTTCTTTCAGACCACTGAGGAGACTAAAGTTCCACCATTTGGGGAAATAAGCATTTTGATCTCAGCACAGCTGGGTGGGACAGGAACAAAACTCTGTCCCCAAGGCTGAGCTGCAAACAGCAGTGATGACTGTGACTTTCTTTACCTTTTGTTTTCACACATGAACTTATTGAGGTGGAGAAATCAAGGCCCCAAGAGTTTGGGACTAAGTGGGGATGGACAATAATTCAGGAATCCAGTGGCATCCTCCTGTCTCCCTCCCCTTCACCTCCCATGGGAAAAACAGGGCTTTCCTGTCCTGTTTCTAACTCCATGTTCAGAAGAAACATTGCGAACTGTTAGAGCAGGAGGCTGAGATTCAAAGGTAACAGGATGTTCCCCACCTATACCTCCCAGTGAGAGATTTGAAGCCCAGTGAGAGCTTTGTAAATCTCTGTCCACACAACTATAAATTTCTCTGAGTCTGGCAGGAAAGGTCCTGTTTTCCCAGATCATGGTAAAAAATCTAAACCAAGTACAACCACTATGGAAAACTGTTTGGAGGTTCCTCAAACTGCTAAACATGGAGCTTCCCTATGACCCAGCAATCCCACTCCTAGGTATCTACC